CCTGACTCAGGGGCAAGGGTAATTTTTTTCTTTTTTGAGACGGAGTCTTGCTCTGTCCCCCAGGCTGGAGTGCAGTGGTACCATCTTTGCTCACTGCCACCTCTGGCTCCCCAGTTCAAGCAATTCCCATGCCTTAGCCTCCTGAGTCACTGGGATTATAGGTGCTTGCTACCCATGCCTGGCTAATTTTTGTATTTTTAGTAGAGATGAGGTTTCACCATATTGGCCAGGCTGGTCTCAAACTCCTGACCTCAAGTGATCCACCCGCCTTGGCCTCCCAAAGTGCTGAGATTACGTGTGTGAGCCACCTCGCCTGGTTTAATTTTTTGTATTTTTAGTAGAGATGGGGTATCACCATGTTGGTCAGGCTGGATTTTTTTTCTTTTTTTGAGATGGAGTCTTTCTCTGTTGCCCAGGCTGTAGTGCAGTGGCATGATCTTGGCTCACTGCAACCTCTCCTGCCCAGGTTCAAGCGATTCTCCTGCCTCAGTCTCCTGAATGCTGGGATTACAGGCACACGCCACCACATCTGGCTTTTTTTTTTTTTTTTTTTTTTTTTTTTTTGTATTTTTAGTAGAGATGAGGTTTCCCCATGTTGGCCAGGCTGGTCTCGAACTCCTGACCTCAATTGATCCACCCGCCTCAGCCTCCCAAAGTGCTGGGATTACAGGCATGAGCCATTGCGTCCTGCCACAAGGATAATTTTTGAGTGAGGGGATGTATTGGGGAGCAGGCAGCCATGTGACCTTGTCTTGTGCCTGCAGCCAAGGGAGAGCTCCTGGGCTGCTTCGGGCTCACAGAGCCCAACAGCGGAAGTGATCCCAGCAGCATGGAGACCAGAGCCCGCTACAACTCATCCAACAAGAGCTACACCCTCAACGGGACCAAGACCTGGTAAGGGGTCTAGGCAGTGGGCAGGCAGTGAACAGGGGCAAAGGGACGCTGGTCAGACCCCTCACCGACTGTTCCATCCCCAGGATCACCAACTCGCCTATGGCCGACCTGTTTGTAGTGTGGGCTCGGTGTGAAGATGGCTGCATTCGGGGCTTCCTGCTGGAGAAGGGGATGCGAGGTCTCTCGGCCCCCAAGATCCAGGGCAAGTTCTCGCTGCGGGCCTCAGCCACAGGCATGATCATCATGGATGGTGTGGAGGTGCCAGAGGAGAACGTGCTCCCTGGTGCATCCAGCCTGGGGGTGAGTGGCAGCCACTTTGGGAATGGGTGTTGGGTCACCTGCGGGTGCAGCTTTGTCAGGCAGGCTCCGTGCTGGGGATGCAGCTCCCTGTTCCTGTGGAGCCCACACAGCGGTGATTCTTACTCAGCCGGACTCACTGATGTGCTGAAAACTGCCCCTGTTTGGTGACCGTCTCGCTCATCCCGGCTCTGCCCGGGACGCATGGGCCTGAACCAGCTCAGTCGTTTGACTCACAGTGCATCTTCTGGCATCCATCAGCCTCCTAGCTCTGAGCATGGAACCCAGATCCCAGGCTGGGTGGGACTGTGTGCAAACCAAGTGAGCAGGCACCGAGCGTCGGTGCCAGGGCCGTCTGTGATGTGAACCCCCTGCGTGGGGTGGCTGGGGAGGAGGCTTTCCCTGCTTCAGAGTTGGTTCTACATAGGCACTCTTGGTGTCTCTTGGGCTGAGGTGCCATCTCAACCCTACAGGGTCCCTTCGGCTGCCTGAACAACGCCCGGTACGGCATCGCGTGGGGTGTGCTTGGAGCTTCGGAGTTCTGCTTGCACACAGCACGGCAGTACGCCCTGGACAGGTGTGTGCGGGCTGCAGTGAGATCCCCTAGGGTTGTGGGGCAGCTTGGGTTTCGTTCTCTACCCCATGGGTGACTCCCCAGCCCCCACCCACCAGGCCTGAGTTCCTTGCTCTGGAATGACCAGTGACGTCCTTCTGAGCAGTCATGGGCTGAGTCAACAGCAGGGCCAGGGCGAGCTCGGGGGCACTGAGGCAGCCTGGGAGGCTTCCTGGAGCAGGGGGCCCCAGGACAGGGACGGGGTGGGAGAGTGGACCTCCCCTCACCCTTACCCTGCCATTGCCCCTGTAGGATGCAGTTTGGTGTCCCGCTGGCCAGGAACCAGCTGATTCAGAAGAAGCTGGCAGACATGCTCACTGAGATTACCCTGGGCCTTCACGCCTGCCTGCAGCTCGGCCGCTTGAAGGACCAGGACAAGTAGGGGTTGTGTGGCGGGGGCTGGGGGACGGCAGCTGTGGGTGGAGGACCTTGTGTCTTTCCTGGAGAGAAAGGTCCTTCCTGCCTGGTGGCCCTGGGGACCTGAACCTTCTGCTCTCCCTCTTGTCTTTGATGGGCTGGGTTGAGGACAGCCCCACTGGTCCCTCATTGGGAGCTTGGCTGCATCAGGGAATCCCCACCCCGGGCTAGGTTTGCTTGGGGCATCGGGATGCCAGGATCCCCAGTCCTTGTTACCCTCATATGCTGCTCCCAGGGCTGCCCCCGAGATGGTCTCTCTGCTGAAGAGGAATAACTGTGGGAAAGCCCTGGACATCGCCCGCCAGGCCCGAGACATGCTGGGGGGGAATGGGATTTCTGACGAGTATCACGTGATCCGGCACGCCATGAACTTGGAGGCTGTGAACACCTACGAAGGTGGGAGCTGGACCTCAGAGGGCTCACTGCAGCCTCAGTGTCTGGGGTGGGGGTACAGCGAGGTGGTACGGGGACAGGCCTGAGTCTGACTCCACCTATCACTAAGTGACAGTGTGACCTGGGGCGAGCCTCACCCCTCTGTCCCTCATCTGGAGTTGCTTACACGGGGACTATGGAAGTGAAGTGCTTCATGCACCACATGGAGGCCCCATCATGCCTTGCGAGGGGCTCCCAGCTCTTTCTCCCACATGCTGGGGATGAGGAATGTTCCTGAGACAGGTAAGCTCCGAAGGCAGCCCAGGGGTGAGGCCCAACTCCTAGCAGGCTGGTGGGTGTGAGCGAAGCTACACGCAGGACTCAACGCTCCATTTTAAGAGACAAAAGTCATCTTCAGATGACGGTGTTTGCACCCTGCAACTGATGGTGATTTACATGGCGGCCCAGAACCCCTTGCTTGGTGGGAAGACAGATGTGGAAAAAGATACTTAAAAAAAATAAAGTGCAAACCCAGTGTGCACTATGCAGGAACAGAGGGAGGTATGAGGACCCCCCCGCCGGCAGAGAGGCTTCCAGACAGAGAGGACAGCAAATGCAGGAGGGGTGCCTTCCCTGCGCCACAGCCCCAGATCTTGTCTCTATCTGGCAGCTGGTGGGTGGGGGGATCCTACAAGTGTGAGAATGACCTTGAGGACAAGCAGAGGGCGCCGTGAGACGGTTTTATGCAGAGATGGCATGAGTCAGATTTGGTGCTTTACAGGCTGGGCGCAGTGGCTCACACATGTAATCCCAGCACTTTGGAGGCTAAGGTGCGAGGATTGCTTGAGTCCAGGAGTTAGAAGTTACAATGAGCAATGATCACTGTGCAACTGCACTCCAGCCTGGGTGACAGAGTGAGACTGTCTCAAAAAGAACAGAAACAAAGGCCGGGCGCAGTGGCTCAAGCCTGTAATCCCAGCACTTTGGGAGGCCGAGGCGGGCAGATCACGAGGTCAGATCGAGACCATCCTGGCTAACACGGTGAAACCCCGTCTCTGCTAAAAATATAAAAAATTAGCCAGGCGTGGTGGTGGGCGCCTGTAGTCCCAGCTTCTCAGGAGGCTGAGGCAGGAGAAGGGCATGAACCTGGGAGGCGGAGCTTGCAGTGAGCCGAGATAGCGCCACTGCACTCCAGCCTGGGCAACAGAGCGAGACTCCGTCTCAAAAACAAAACAAAACAAAAATGGTTTGTACTTTAGGAAGTAAACAGAATTGGCTCTAAAAAGGAGGCTACAATCTTGCCTTCTGCTCCATGGAGCTGGGGAGGAGCAAAGGATGAGACACCAGGGCGTGAGGTGTGGGAGAAGCGACCTCTTCTCTGGGAGAGGTGGCTTCAGGTGGGCAGAGGTCAGCTGAGGCAAGTGACTGCTTTTCCGACGTGCTGTCCCTCCCGTCCCTCCCAAGGGTAAGAAAGGGCCTGCTGTGTTTCTCTGGAGCTCAGGGGTGCTTTTAGCCTCTGCAGCAAGGAAGCGTGGCCAGGTTGAAAATCAAACATTTAATAAACTGTGGGCCTGGGGGTGAGGAGAACTTGCCAAGGGTGGGGAGCATGAAGGCTGGGCCCATGGCAGGGGCTGGACTTGCTACGTTTTGGGAGTTCAGCACAAGGAGCTTTGGGTTTTTGTTTTTTTTTCTGCCAAGATGCATTATAGAACCATGAAAAACAATTTCTCAGTGTGGCCCAAATGGTGGCCTCACAGTCTTCTGGAGGCTGTCACTAAGGCGTGAGTCTCCCGGCAGCTGTCAGCATTCACCATCTCTGTGGGTCTGTTCTTCTGAAGCAGTGGCCTGGGGGGACATGAAAATTCATTTTAAAGGAAGTTGTGAGCCGTGAAGACTCCAAACCAACTCTATATTAATCTTGTCCAGGTACACATGACATTCACGCCCTGATCCTTGGGAGAGCTATCACGGGAATCCAGGCATTCACGGCCAGCAAGTGAGCCCGCCCCATCAGGGGCCCAAAACTCTGAAGCCCCTTTCTGGAGAGAGGCCTGGCTGGACCGCAGGAGCGCCATGCTCTGAGAGGGAGGTGGCGGATGGCGTGGGAAGTGAGAGACACTGATTTTTAAATATCAAAATTTCCCTTTGAAGTCGTTCGGATGTGTTCCTTAAAAAGAAGATGGAATTCTCTGTAGAGCGTCTCAATCCACTTTTAACCATGGATGAGAACAGACTCCATTTACCCTGAAATAGCAGCTTTTCTTGAGAGGAGAGTGACATTGAAGCAACTCCGTCTGCTCCAGCCGACCCCTCACACCGAGTTCACAGTGTGCCCTCCGTCCCTCCCGTCTGGGGGTAGTGCCTTATGCTGGGTGTTGGAGCGGAGTGAGGGAGAGGAAAATAAAGAGCTGCACATCTGACCCCAAGGTGTCAGGCCAGTTTACTGGTAACCACCTGAGAAGTAGTTTCAGCCACGGAAGAAACGAACACGTCTGGGGGCTGTGAGTCGCTGGGACGTGGTGGGGACTTCCCCCTAGAGTGGTCTGGCCCCCGTCTGAGTCTTAGGCTCTGGTGTGAAAAAGAAACCCAGGTTAGCAGTGACAGGCTGTGCCAGGGCTGCAGGGCTCAGGGCTGTGGGCAGAGGGGATGATTTCTGAGTGGCAGGGGTGCAGGGGACTTTGTCCTTTCTGTCACCACAGAGCTGCTCATACAACAGTGGGACATGACAACGGGTTGGCTTCTCAGCTCAGACACACCATGTTACAGGGGACCACAAACAAGATGGTAAGTGCACCAGGGGCTTTGCAGGGACTGTGGCCTGGTGGGGTCAGTGCTGGGTGCCTGGTTTCTGTTCACATTTACTCTTGGCTGGGCCATCCCTGTCCTCTTCCTCAGGCAGCGCCCCCCATGTGAGTTTCCTCATACCTCAGGCTGGAGACACAGGTCTTTGTACACAGTCTCCACGCTGTGGCAGACTTGTTTGAGCTCTGTCTCCAAATGGCTGATCTTTGCCATTTTCTGGGTGAACTCTTGGAGCTTTTCCTGGATGATCTTGTTGTGGTCATTATAAATCTGATAGATCCTCTCCTCTAATTTCTCTGTCAGATCCGAAACCTTTTAAAGAATAAGATGTGTTCTTGGAAAATCAAACAAGAGGTATCACAAGACATATGTGTTAAGTGGGTTTCTTAGATTTCTGTAATTTATCTTATGAAAATGGCAAAATAGGCCGGGCGCGGTGGCTCACGCCTATAATCCCAGCACTTTGGGAGGCAGAGGCGGGTGGGTCACTTGAGGTCAGGAGTTTAAGACCAGCCTGGCCAACATGGTGAAACCCCGTCTCTACTAAAAATACAAAAATTTAGCCGGCCATGCGGGCCACTATACCATGAACCCACAGGTACTCCGGGAGGCTTGAGGTCGCGAGCGAGAAATCACCTTCAACCAGGAGGTGGATGTGCCAATGCATACCGAGATTCACTGACTGCATCTCAGGCCTGGGCAAAATGTGAGTGACTCGTCTCAAAAAAAAAAAAAAAAAAAGAAAGAAATGGACAAAATAGGCCAGGCATTGGGTGGGCCTCATGCCCTGGTAATCCCATGGCAACTTTGGATTAGGCCCGAGGTTGGGGTGGATTTACTGAGGCCAGGAGTTTTCAAGACCAGGCCTAGCCAACATGCGTGAAAAACACCCATCTCTATTATATAAACTAAACTTGCTGGGATGGGTGGCGTCGGGCCTGTGATCCAGTTTTAACTTGGACGGGCGAGGCATAGGGAGAATTGCTTGAACTGGGGAGGTGGAGTTGCAGTAAAGGCCAAGATTGATTTGCCATCGCACTCCAAAACCTGTGCAAATGAGGTGAAAGTCCCATCTCAAAAAAAAAAAAAAAAAAAAAATTAGCAAGGCATAGGTGACGGGCACCTGCAGTCCCAGCTACTCGGAAGGCTGTTGCAGGAGGATCAGTTGAGCCCAGGAGTTAGAGGCTACAGTGAGTCATGATCACACTAATGCACTCCAGCCTGAGTGACCCTACCTCAAAAAAAGAAAAGAAAAACACCAAAAACTAAAACCCAGTGCAGTGACTGGGGGTCAGATTGCCTATATGTTAAATTTTCTTGTTTTCTTGAGGCGGAGTTTCACTCTCGTTGCCTAAGCTGGAGTTCAATGGCATGATCTCAGCTCACTGCAATCTCTGCCTCCTGGGTTCAAGGGATTCTCCTGCCTCAGCCTCCCGAGTAGCTGGGATTATAGGCGAGCGCCACCACGCCCAATTAAGTTTTTGTATTTTTAGTAGAAATGGGGTTTCACCATGTTAGCCAGGCTGGTCTCGAACTCCTGACCTTAGGTGATCCACCCCCACCCCCCGGCCTCCCAAAGTGCTGAGATTACAGGCATGAGCCACCGCACCTGGCCTGTTAAATTTTTTTAACAGGCAAAAGTATATACAGTCGTGTGCTACATATTGACATTTTGGTCAATGTCAGACTGTATATACAATGATGGCCCATAAGAATATAATGCCATATTTTTACTGTACCTTTTCTGTGATTAGATATATTTAGATACACAAATACTTACCATCGTGTTATAAGTGCCTACAGTATTCAGTATGGTAACAGGTAACAAGCTATGTGCAGGTTTGTAGCTTAGGAGCAATAGGCTCTTCCACGTAGCCTAGGTGTGTAGTAGACTATACCATCTAGGTTTGTGTAAATTCACTCTATGATGTTCAGATGATGACAGTGTCACCTAGGGATGCATGTCACAGAACTGTACAGGACAAGCTCAGCCAGGTTAGGAAGAAAGTACACAGAATAAAAGAGGCATCCAACAAAGTGGCCTCTGGGTGGTGTATCAAAAAAAAAAAAAAAAAAAAAGTTTTTGTATCTTTTCTACTAGAGGCCAAGGCAGCGGGGTGAGGAGTTCAAGACCAGCCTGGGTAACATAGCAAGATTCCAACTCTACAAAAAAATGTTTAAAGAAAATTAGCTGGGCAAGGTGGTGCACACCTGTAGTCCCAGCTACTTAAGAGGCAGAGGTGGGAGGATCACTTGAGCCCAGGAGTTTGAGGCTCCAGTGAGCTATGATCGTGCCACTGCTCTCTAAGCCTGGGCGATAGAGTGAGACACCACCTCTAAAACTATAAATCAACACAACACAACACAACAATACAACACAACACAATCAATACAACACAACACAACACAACAATACAATACAATAAAACAAGTGAGCCGGGCTTGATGTTGCACGCCTATAGTCTCAAGCTACTCGAGAGGCTGAGATGAGGATTGCTTGAGCCCAGGAGATCAAGATTGCAGTGACCTATGATTCCACCACTGCACTGCAGCCTGGGCAACAGCAAGTCTTGTCTCAAAAAAAAAAAGAAAAAAGAAAATAATCTGTCATCAAGACACCTAGAATCAGCAAGCTGTCCCACTCACATGACCCATTATGTATTTTTTTGTTTGTTTGCTGGAACTATAGGCATGTGCTACCATGCCTGGCTAATTTTTTTTCGAGACAGTGAGCCAAGATCGTGCCGCTACTCCAGCCTGTGCAACAGAGCGAGACTGTCTCAAAAAAAAAAGAAAGAAAAGAAAACCAGAAAGAAAGAAGCAGTCTCCTTTTTCTTCTTCTTCTTTTTTTTTTTGAGATGGAGTCTCGCTCTGTCACCAGGCTGGAATGCAGTGGCACAATCTCAGCTCACTTCAACCTCCGCCTCCCAGGTTCAAGCGATTCTCCTGCCTCATCCTCCCGAGTAGCTGGCATTACAGGCACGCACCACCAGGCCCAGCAAATTTTTGTATTTTTAGTAGAGACGGGGTTTCACCATGTTGACCAGGATGGTCTCCATCTCCTGACCTTGTGATACCCCCACCTCAGCTTCCCAAAGTGCTGGGATTACAGGCGTGAACCACTGTACCTGGCCCCTATTTATTTATTTTTGAGACAAAATCTTGTTCTCTGGCCCAGGCTGCAGTGCAGAGTGACTGCACCAAGCTAATTTTTCTATTTTTAGTACAGATGTGGTTTCACCATGTTGGCCAACCTGGTCTCTTAACTCCTGGCCTCAAGTGATCCACCTGCCTCAGCCTTCCAAAGTGCTGGGATTACAGGCATGAGTCACTGTGCCTGGTCCCCCCATTATATATTTTGAACAGGCATCAGGCGCAACCATTCATGTAAGACCTGAACATCACACCAGCTTTTGCAAGACGTAAGCCCCAGGCATGTTGAAAAACTTCCACTGCCCCATCACAGCCCATTCGATGGCTTCTGCTGGACATATGGTTGTGACAATGCAAGTTATGCCTTGACCCCCTACTCCCATGGCTACTTGACCTTGTGTGAAGTAAGAGGGCTGGGTGTTGGAGGCAGGAGGGTATCCAATGCCCTGCTCCTTCAGCCTGGCTCTGTCATCAGGCAAATCATTCATTTCCAAGCCTTATCTATAAAATGGATCCAATCTCTTCACTGTAGGACTATTCTAAGGGTAAATTGAGATACAGATGGTCCCCAACTTACTACAGTTCAACTTACTACATTTTTCACTTATAGCATTTTCAACTTGCAATGGGATTATTGGGATGTAGCCCCATCATACGTGGAGGATCGCCTGTGCTGTCTGTGAATGGCCTAGCACCATGCCTGGTGTACAACAGACATTCATCAGTGGTTCATTCCGTCCCCTTTTGCATAAGGAATCCCCCCTCTCGCTGGGTGAAGTCTGTCACCTTGGTCTTCAGGCTGTTCCTGAAGTTGGTCATGAGTGCATGGTCCTTTTGCCGGCTCTGGTTGATGTTTTCGATCAGCTCCTGGGCTCTCTTCTGCAGGATGTCGATGCTTGAGTCCAGAGAGGAGAAGTAGAGTCCCGACTTCCCTTCCAGCACTGTCAGCTGGCAACTGGCACTGGAGATGGCGACACAAGGGCAAGAAACCTGACTTCACAGAGTACAGGATGCGGCCGGGTGCGGTCGCTCATGCCTATAATCTCAGCACTTTGTAGGCCAAGGTGGGCGGATCACAAGGTCAGGAGTTCGAGACCAGCCTGGCAACATGGTGAAACCTCGTCTCTACTAAAAAAAAAAAAACAAAACAAAAAAATTAAGCCCGGCACAGTGGCATGTACCTGTAGTCCCAGCTTACTTGGAGGCTTGGAGGCATGGGAGAATTGCTTGGAACCCAGTGTGAGGTGAAAGTTGCGCAGTGAGCCGAAGATTCGCATTGCCACTGCACTCCAGCCTGGGTGACAGAGCGAAACTCCATCTCAAAAAAAAAAAAAAAAAAAAAAAAGTACAGGCACCTGAGATCAGCACCAGACTCTTCCAAGACCAGCTGATCTGAGAGAGCTACATGGTAGGGGGACCCCACATTGTTGCCTTCCATGGGTGATACGAGCATGCTTCCTAAGGTTATTCCATTCACACACATGCCTGAACGATTGGAATGGCACCGCATTTTTATAGCGTGAGAAAAACAGACCAAGATGCACGACTAAATATGCACAAGGTTCCAGACCAAGGAGGTCTGTCTGACCCCAAAGCCCACTGTTATTTTATGACACCAACTCGCTTCTTTGGAATACCAATAATAGTATCAATGCTTGCTTTCTTACTTCCTTTTTTTTTATAGAGACAGGTCTTGCTCTGTTGCTCAGGGTGGAGTGCAATGGCACAATCACAGCTCACTGCAGTGTCAACCTCGCAGGCTCCAGTGATCCTCCTACCTCAGCCTCCTGAATAGGTGGGACTACAAGCATGTGCTACCATGCAGAGCTAATTTTTAAAATTTTTAAATAGAGACTGGGCTTCACTATGTTGTTCAGGCTGCTCTCAAACTTCTGGCCTCCCAAAATGGGATTACAGGTATGAGCCACTGTGCCTGACTGATGTAATCAGCAATCTCCTGCAACCTCCACCTCCTGGGTTCAAGCGATTCTCCTGCCTTAGCCTCCCGAGTAGCTGGGACTACAGGTGCACACCATCACACCCAGCTAATTTTTGTACTTTTAGTAGAGACAGGGTTTCACCATGTTGGCCAGGCTGGTCACGAACTCCTGACCTCAAGTGATCCTCCTGCCTCGGCCTCCCAAAGTGCTGGGATTACAGGGGTGAGCCACCGCACCCAGCCTGATGCTTTCTTAAGTGACCTTCCTGTCATTAACCTGCTGCATCCCTTTCCAAACCTACTGGGTGATGTTCACCACCTGGGGCTACAGTGTACTTGCACCTCCTTGCTCCCACCAGGTGAGGTAAATACCTGTTGAATTATATTTAAAGAGCATTTAAAGAAATGTGCACACAAGCAAAAAGTTGTTGATCCCATGCTGTACATGTAACTAATGATATAATTCAAATATTGTGTTAACCAGTGAAATAGTGGCAGAAGAGTGACAGCTGTCTAAAAAGCTAAACAGAATGAAAAATGTTGAGTAATATGTAATGTTATGTAACTTCATAATATTCAATGTAATAAAATGGAACTTCGGTTGGGTATGGGGGAGATGACTAAAATTGAAGCAAAGATCATAAAAATCTAGAAAAATTCTGCATATAGATTGCTCTGCCAAGGTTTTGTTCTCTGCTTTAAAAACAGAACTGGGGCCAGGAACGATGGCTCAAGCCTGTAACCCCAGCACTTTGGGAGGCCGAGGTGGGTGGATCACAAGGTCAGGAGTTCAAGACCAGCCTGGCCAAGATGGTAAAACCCCATCTCTACTAAAAATACAAAAAATTAGATGGGCACAGTGGCGGGCACCTGTTATCCCAGCTACTCGGGAGGCTGAGGTAGTTGAATTGCTTGAACCCGGGAGGCAGAGGCTGCTGTGAGCCAAGATCGTGCCACTGCACTCTAGCCTGGGCGACAGAGCAAGACTTCATCTCAAAAATAAATTAAATTAAAATAAAACAGAACTGAAAATTGTGGGTAATGCATTGTGAATGAAGTTTATACTGTGATCTGATAAGGCAACCCATTGGTATTTTAAATTAAGACATATTTTTTCTTCTTCTGATTCTCTGGTTTATTTGACCTGTTTGATGTCTGATCAGTTAGTGGTTCTGGCCAGGTAGAGCTGCCCCTGTGAGTCACAGCTAATATTTCCTCAGCCATGTTCCCGGCACTGAGCTAAGCCACATGCCTTTTCTTCGTGCAGCCTCACGACCACACTCGGGTCGTCTGCTGTTCTTTTTACTTTATGGCTGAGGACATGGGCTTAGAGTGGTTACACCACCTTCTCAAGGTGGAGGACAGTCTGTGGTAGAGCTGGGCTTTGTACCCACTAGGCCTGACTTCCCAGCTGGTATCCTGCTTCCTACTAAGGCACTCAGGCGCCACTCCCCTCCTGGATCTTACATTTCCTCGTCGGCCTCTGAGGTCCTCCAGCTCTGAAAGGCCAAGCCTTGTAGGTGTGGACAGAGCAGTTCCTGAATGCAGCAGGTCACACAAAACCTTAAAGTCAGCTGTGTCCACAAGCAGGTTACTGACTACTTAGAAAAATAAATCTTGGCCAGACATGGTGGCTCATGCCTGTAATCCCAGCATTTTTGGAGGCCAAGGCTGGTGGATCACCTGAGGTCAGGAGTTTGAGACCAGCCTGGCCAACATGGTGAAACCCCGTCTCTACTAAAAATACAAAAATTACCCGGGCATGGTGGCATGTGTCTGTAATCCCAGCTACTAGGCATGCTGAGGCAGGAGGATCGCTTGAACCTGGGAGGCAGAGGTTGCAGTGAGCCGAGATTGTGGCACTGCACACTAGCCTGGGCAACAGAGCAAGACTCCGTCTCAAAAATATAAAATAAAGAAAAATAATTTTCAGCTATCTGAACCAAGCACAGTGGGCTCATGCCTATAATAGCAGCACTTTGAGGGGCTAAGGCAGGTGAATCGTGAGCTCAGGGTTTTGAGACCAGCCTGGGCAACATGGCAAAACCCCATCTCTACAGAAAACACAAAAATTAGCTGGGTGTGGTGGCGTGCACTTGTAGTCTCAGCTACTTAGGAGGCTGAAGTGAGAGGATCACTTGAGCCCAGCAGTGGAGGCTACAGTGAGCTTGATCATGGCACTGCACTGGAGCCTAGGTGACATGACGCCACTGCACTCCAGCCTGAGCGACAGAGGGTGACCCTGTTTCAAACAAACAAAACAACCACAACACACAAATACATCCCTCCCTCCCCACCCAGTCTCCCCCAGCCAACCACCTCCCTCTTCCCTCCCCATCAAGGCCAGGGTTCTAGAAGGAGCTGCTTACACTTTCTGGGCTTTTTTTTTTTTTTCAGACGGAGTCTCGCTCTGTCGCCCAGGCTGAAGTGCAGTGGCGTGATCTCGGCTCACTGCAAACTCTGCCTCCCGGGTTCACGCCATTCTCCTGCCTTAGCCTCCTAAGTAGCTGGGACTACAGGCGCCCACCACCACGCCCGGCTAATTTTTAGTAGAGACGAGGTTTCATCGTGTTAGCCAGGATGGTCTCGATCTCCTGACCTCGTGATCCTCAGCCTCCCAAAGTGCTGGGATTACAGGCATGAGCCACTGTGCACGGCCTTTTTTTTTTTTTTTTAAAGAGAGAGGAGGGTCTCACCCTGGGCTTCTTTTCTTTTCTTTTTCTTTTTCTGTTTTTTTTTTGAGACGGAGTCTTGCTCTGTTGCTCAGGCTGGAGTGCAGTGGCGCGATCTCGGCTTACTGACCTCGTGATCCACCCGCCTCAGCCTCCCAAAGTGCTGAGATTACAGGCATGAGCCACCGCACCCAGCCATCCTGGGCTTATTTTCTTACCCCTCATTCACTTTTCAGTCCATTGCAATCAGATTCCTACCCCGGTTCTCAAATGAAACAGCTCCTACCAGTCCCCATGACCTTGTGGTTACAGCGGTAGACATCTCAGACCAACATGCTGACCTCTTGGCAGCAGCCAGCACTGCTGACCACCCTTCCCTGCTACTCCTGACATGTGGTATCCCAGGGGTCTGTGCTTGGGCCTCTGCTGTCTTCTTCCCAGACACCCTCAATCACACACTTGCTCTGCAGTGAGGCCTCCATGCCTCCTCCCTGCTGGCCCTTGCAGCTAATATTCCAGCCACCATTCCACAGTGCACAGGCTGTTACTCTCCAAAGGCATTCATTCCCGTAGCAAGGGATCCCTGAACAGTCCCCTTTCCCACCTACGTCCTGTCTCCTCCGGAAAGTGTTCCTTGGCTGGATTCGGTGCACACAGCACCTACGGTGTCACTGTCTACACCTTGGCCTCCCCTGTAGTCTCCTGAAGGGCCAGGGCCATGTCTCATTCCTTTGTCTTTGTATCTTCAGTACCTACTCCTCATGAGAGAAGCAGTAAGTGTGCTGCTAATAAATAAATGACTTGCAAGTACTTTCCATTACCATCCACACTTCGGATTCTATCATCTAGATTCTATCATCCCAGCCCATGCCTCTCTCCTGAGCTCCCAAGAATATATGAAACCTCCCAGTCTCCCCACATGGCTGTCTCAAAGGCATCTGAAACTCTGCATTTGCACAACCAAAAGCATAATCTCCCTGGCAACCCAATTTCATCTTCCCTTCCCTTAGTGAATGACATAAAAAGCCACCTGGTTCCCAAGCCCAAAACTTAGCAGCAAGCCTAGAGTCCGGCTTCTCTCTGTCCCTCCGCATCCTGTCTCAAAATCCTCTCATTTCTACCTTTTTTTATATTTATTTATTTATATATTTATTTGAGATGGAGTCTTGCTCTGTCGCCCAGGCTGGAGTGCAGTGGCGCAATCTCGGCTCACTGCAAGCTCTGCCTCCCGGGTTCACGCCATTCTCCTGCCTCAGCCTCCTGAGTAGTTGGGACTACAGGCACCCGCCACCTCACCCGGCTAATTTTTTTTTTTGTATTTTTAGTAGAGACGGGGTTTCACCGTGTTAG